TCCCTTGTATGAAATTTTTTTAGTTGCAATTCTATCAGTTCTAGAATTTGAAAATATCTTTATTATCATTAATATCATCAAAAGTATCAAAATATCATTATTAACATAAATATCATTTAAAATATCATTATAAGAAACAAAAGTAAAAAAAATGGTGTTTTTAGACATTCAGCGATAGTTTGGTTGGCATTGGCCAATGAGTTATCTGCCAAATGAACTAATTTAACTAAACCAGAAAAAAAGTAGTTTTTTAACTAATTAAAGTTAGGTTTTTCTTCTGTTAAACTGACAATGTTAACCATATGAAACAATGAAAACAATAGTAATTTGTTGTAAACTAAAATACGTCGGAACTAACTTGCATTTTGTAGGTAATTATTTAAGAGTGACTCTTTTCAATCTGAGCAAAAATTGTAACTTAATTTTTCTCAGCAACAAGAATTTTTTTGGTATTTTTAATACCAAATTGATAAACTAACTACTGAAACAGTTTTACCTTGAATTTTTTCTCATTTGAAATTAGTTTGTCTAACACCATTTGCGTGCGAAAAAAATTAAAAATAAAATTGAAGACTATCTGAATACAAAATGGAACCTGATCTAAACTACATTTTATGATTGGATAAATTAAATGTTTTACCAATGTAAAGTATTTAATATTAACCAATCACGATCCATCTAACTAACAACCCACTTAATTGTAAGTGCTGAAGTTACTTGTAATTTCAGCACCAGAGAGATTTGAATTTAACTTAGAAATTAGTTGCACTCTCCCGAGTACTTCAGCAGCCGCAATAAACCAGTATACCCTAGATCTATTGAGCCTAGCAGAGACTAGTTAAACAACCTGAGACTAGATAGTATAAGAGTAAGATTAGGATCGGTATTAGACTAAGAAGTTGCACGAATCTATCCGGCCGAAAATAAGATAGCGTGACGAGCAGACGGTGTACCCTATCCGAAATTACTCTATGAGTTATACACTCCAGTCCTAACTCATCTGGTGCGACCATAAGTCTCGAACAAGACCTTACTAGATTAGAATTAACCAAAATAGATTAGAAATTAGACAAAAACATTCAAAATGTTATACGACAATAATTTAATCGAAATGTCTCTACGACTCAATAGATCAGAGCCAATATTCCGAACCATAACAGAACTACCCGGAATTGGAAGAAGACCTCGAACCAGAGACGACATACGACAAAGTAGAAACTTGCCGTATAGTTATATGATAGTTCGGCAAAAGCCAGAACAAACTTTTATATTTCGAATACTACTTGCAATGAATTTAGATTTCCATTTGCAAACATAAAACCTTGAAGTTAATCTTCAAAATCATTTCAGGCGCTAAACAAAATTAATAATATACAATAACGATTGATAAAAAGATCTCAGATCGTTTTCCTAAAACTCTGCAGTATTATACAAAACATGTTTGAAAAATATTTATTAGAAATAAAAATAAAAATTAGTAGCATGACAATAAATGGTTAGTAATCATAAATCATCCTGTTGTTCCAGCTTCATCACCTAAAACATAACAGCAATCATCAACTCACTAACATCATAAAACACTAAATCTTTCCTTTACACAAATTTAAAATTTAATTAAAACTTAAAGTCACTTAAATTCAAAATCAGATCATCAAGGCTTATCCTTGGATCTTAAATCATTTTCTACTTAATTAAATTTTAAACTTGATCATCAAGGCTTATCCTTGGATCAAACAGAACAACTTTGTTCTCCCCCACCCACTTAACTAGTGTCTAACGACCTCAAACGTCGATTCACTATCCAAACCTTTCTAAAGACCCAAGACTAATAGAAATTTTTAATCAAAACTAATCATTCAAATTAGGATAAACAGTGAAGAACTTCGGTTATTCATCCTTCACTTGACCCCCCTCTTACCAGACCCAGGATAAATTCTAGACTTAGTAAGTTTAAAATAGTATCTAACGAACTACTCGCGTTCTAATTATACCTGAACCTTGTGGATCGATTTACTATTCTCCAACCCTTGAACACAATCACTACCCCTAAGTAAGATTAAGTAAGTTAACACCTTAACTTATACTAGTCACGAGAAAGTACAAATCATTCTTCGGAATAGATATACTT